AGAGAAATATACTGTGAATATAAAATAAAAAAATGCATGCATGACAACTCGTACTTATAGGGGCCTACCATATTCCAGTCTAAAATAAAAATCAAACATATCAAATTTCGTCAAAAATCTAACAAGAACGAGTTGAAGTGTTGTCAAAAGTATCCTCGTCATTGATAACTTTCTGCTTGAACCCAGGGCGGTGGGGTAGCCTAGTGGTTAAAGCGTCCGCTCGTTACGCCGAAGACCCGTGTTCGATTCCCTAAACGGGTACAATGTGTGAAGTCCATTTCTGGTTTCCCCACCGTGCTATTGTTAGAGTATTGCTAAAAGCGGCGTAAAACCATACTCACTCAATGACTCTGGTTGAACCCCATTTCTAGTGTCCCCGATGTGATGTTGCTAAAATATTGCTGGAATCGGATAAGGAAACTACTATGTCACTCACTCTGAATGAAGCTAGTCGCAGTTCATTTCATAAGTGAATGTCTTTAAGAGGAACCTGCACGTAAATGTTACATTCTCTTTACATATCGCTAGTTTTATATTTATATCTGTGAATTCTCTAGTCTTTTTACTGTCCTTTGTCGGCAGGTTTTTTATAATATACATATATTTCATGTCAATATCAAATGTTCTCGTCACGATATGGCTGAAATATTGCCGATGTGACGTTAGATATTAACTCACTCACTCACTCACTCTGTTCACATAACAAAACATTATTTCTTTATAACAACATTCCATTCTTATTACACTGCATACCATTGCATCCTTATTACATTACATTACATTACTATCGCATAACAGAACACCCTTACAACATTACATTCTTATTACACAGAATTACATTACATTCTTATTGCATTACATAACATTACACTTTTATCACATTTCAGAACAGAGCATTTTTATTACATACCAGAACATTCGTATCACATTACCTTCTTCTTATGTGACATTACATTCTTATACCATTACATTCTTTTCTTATAACATTACATACCATTGCATTACATTTTTATTACATACCATTAGATTACATTCTTATAACATATCGTAAGTTTACATTCTTATCACATTCTTATTACAATACATACCAGTATATTACATTTTTATTACATAACATTACATTACCTTCTTTTAACATAGCATTACATTACACTCCTATAACACTATATAACATTACATTATTATTACATAGCACCAACATTACATTCGTATTCGTTTCCACATACTTGTGCTAGATCAAAGCGCTAACACAATATTATAACACAATCTGATTGGGAGACGCTAGCAGGTTATAGTCACAGGAGTTATCCCACCGGGTTGCCGGTATTCTGCTGGGCGAACAGAGCAGTTTTGAACAAAATCACTTGCTTAGGTGAAACCACATGTATCAGATGGGCTTCGTTGGGGGCAGGACTGAAGTATGAGAAACTTTCAGGAGTCAAGCTGCCACACACAACACAACAAAGATAACATTACAATCGTATTACCAAAACTTCAAATTCTAATTAAGTAACAGAAGATTATTATTACATTGCATGACATTAGCTTCTTATTACATAACATAACATTCTTATTAAAAGACATGACATTGTCATTGCATTAGTCTTAATGCATTACATTGCCTTAGATTTGCATTATTAGATTACATTGTTGCATTATTACATCACATTATATCACATTATTACGTTACATTACATAACTAGTGTAAACTATTCCATCATTAGATATGTAAGATGGCAAAAGCAGCAACTGTCGATTTAACAAAAATAACCCTAAAACATTTTATTCATGATACAGCATAAACATAAACATGGCAGCTGCTTTCTCCTTCCTTCACTGTGCTGGACTCGGGGTTTCACCGTACACGAACGTGTGAACACACTATGTGTAAAACCCAAAGCATGTGCTTGGAAATGAAGTGCAGATCTAGATGTACAGTACTCGTGTTAGCAATAAAATACCTGCTTGACAGAAAATCGATGGTAAAATCAGCATGACCTAAATATAAAACAGCGTTAACTTTACTCTGCTAAAGGAGCTCTGCACTGCCAGCAACCATATCTGGGGCTCAAGTGGTGTGAAAGGTATGAAAATTATATGAATTATTATTTGAAGCTTTATAGTAATTTAATGATGAAAAAAAGTGAATATATTTAGGTCATGTTGGGTTTCCATTTCTCCTTTATTAATCGAGTAGGTAATAACTTACAGTAATATTATTTCACTTAGTAATTCATGAATACTTACACATGGGTGGATAGGTATTATATTTTCGTGAATTAATTCAGAAATCAATACAAAGAAATGCAAATACATGACTTTAATAGTAAAAAAGTGTAGCAGTCCAAATTCTAGACTGATATATAATACAAAGTGGTAATTATAGCAATAGAGACAATGGTACCAATATTTACCTCTCGGCAACAGTAATCCAACTTCCAAAATTAAGTCTAGGCAGAGTATCCTGGGGTCTAATGCTCGTCATACTAAGCTGATCTTCTTGTTACTTGAGATGTCATGTGACATGAGATGCAAGAGTTAGCTCCACCTATATATCTAAAAACAGACTCCACACGATTCTTCAACCCATGCTCATTATATTGATCATTGGCTTCTTTGAGTATTGAACTCCACGTTTTCATGACGTTGTCAGATAGTGGAACTTTATTAAACTGCAGTTTTCAACATTAAATATCCCCGTACTTTATATGCAGGATCTAGGAAGTTCGCTTTTTTGCATGTGTACGATTTTCATTTTCAAACAAAACTCGGCTAGAAACAAACACTAATAACTGTGTGAGGCAAGATGATTGTCAAAATTAATGGTCCACAGTGATTTATCGACCTTCTTGAAAACCGCATCCAATTCCTTGTGTTTAGGGGTGGTGTTAACGAGAAATAGTGGTGCGTACATAAGATGTGTGTATTTGAAAAGTTTGTTAACGCTTAACGTCCTGGTTCCCTACTTCTTTTAAGAGTACATTTTGTCCGATATGTATTCAGTAAATACAGGTGTGTCTTTGCCTGACACATTTCATTGTTTCTGTGACTTTTTCACACATTGTTTCATGGACATATCATTCTCTAGCAATGATATAGTTTCTTCAATTACATGTTTTGTCGGATATGTGTCCTGTAATGACAGATGTTTATTCGTTTGAATTATATAAATGATGCTTGATAGGCATTTTAGAAGATACTATTTGATGAACATGAAGAAATGTCTGGGATTTCATCTTTTTATTCCTTCATACAACGTTTCGGGGCCTTTTCCGGCCCCATCATCCGGTAAAAATAATAAACAATTAACTGTGCCCATGACGTCACAATGCTTATGACGCCACAATTATTGTTTTAATTTAGAAATGTACAGACACTTATAAATACATGTCTAGAATGTAAAGTAATTACAGTGTATACATAGAAATTATGATTTACACATGGGTACAGTGTTTCTTATCAAACAATGACGAAGGTAGGCCAAGGTACTTGTCTATTGTTTAATGAACCATGCATTAGGAAGGTACACACCCTGATCCCTGTTTATTGCTGGTTTTGTACGTTTGATGCTTTTTGTTTATTTCATTTTATTTTTATTTTTTTGGGGCGAGGGCTTCGGATTCCCCGTCAACTTTATGATTAGGATTATTCACAATGTGTTGAGAAACTGCAGATTTCAGATCCGATCCGGTCTGAAGACTGAAGTGTTCTTTCACACATGTAGCTACTGGTCTGCCTGTCTCACCAATGTAGATTTCACCACAGTCGCATTTCACTTTATACACAAAGCCTCTTGGGTTAGGGATAGCCTGATTGAGTTTTAAGGGTTTTGCCAGGCGAGATACTAGGGTCAATCCTGGGCGTTTCCTGTACACGTCTGCTGACTTGGTGGCTGATGAGCCCAACATACTGGATGTTGATGCGGATGGGAGATACTTCAGGTTTTAAGGACGCGGAACTTGATCTTGTAGTGTTTTCTTTATAGTGGTTTCTACAAGGTACTTGGGATAACCATTGTATGTGATGAATGCTGTCTTCAGGTAGTCAACTTCTTGTTGCAGTAAGTCAGGGGTACAAATTGTTTTCGCGAGTGTGGTAACACTTGCTCTCTTGATATTGGGGATGGTGGTTTGAGTGGTAGTGAATATATTGGTCTGTGTGGGTAGGTTTGCGATAGACCGACGTGATGAGCTGGTTATTGGAGTTGTCAATGGCGATGTCCAAGAAAAGGACTTTGTTGTGCTGCTCTGTTTCCATCGTAAACTAAATTCTAGCCTGTTGATTGTTGAGGCTGTTTAGGAATGCATTGGGGTCATGATGGTTGTCTAGGATAGAGAATGTATCATCAACTTTCCTGTGCCAAAGTAGTGGTTGGAGTGGTGAAGTAGCCAGAGCATTCTTCAAAGTTGGTTATGAAAACCTCAGGTATGAGAGGTGAGAGTTGAGATCCCATGTGTAGACCATGAATCTGCTGATATTCTGATCTTGCCATGTAAAATAGGATGTTTAAAAACAGCTGGATACAAGGCTGCCGATGCTGTCGATGGCTAGTTTTGTGTCGATCTGGTCTATACAGGACTTTAATCGAGATCGCAGGATTGCTAGGGATTCCTCTAGAGAATGTTAGTGAATAAGTCTACCACGTCATAACTGACCATGGTGCCACTAGTTTGGTAATCCGCAAGTTTGTTAACAAACCATGGTGAATCACTGACGAAGGATTTACCTTCTTTGCCTGAAACGCATTGTGACGTCAGGGGCATAGTTAACTGTTTATTAGTTTTCCGGATGATGGGGCCTGAACAGGATAAAGAATAAAAAGAAGATGAAATCCAGGAAATGTTTATTATTTAATGGATGTTTGTTCAATGAAGATTTGTTCACAGTACACAGTGTTTCATGGTTCTTCTCTCGCCATAATATTGTTTCTTCAGTGAAAAGGGATATGACTCTGTGGGTACTTTCTGTAAAGTGGAATCAGTCTGAACTTGACTTTTCAGGATGCCATACAGTGATGGTTAAATACATCGAAAAGATGGCAGAGTATGGCAGAATGGATTGAAAGTAAGTATAATCTGTTTTATCTAATCATACACCATCATCTCAACACGACTTTTATCTCAAGATCGAGTGTAACTCTATTTCAATGTTTCCAACTGCATTTATAAGTTACTTTATTCAGAACTGAAGGACATTGTCCCTAGATATTCCTTAAGAACATTAACATTGTGTATCTTCATAAGGGCTCGAAATTTGAGAATTGAAGGTGGGCTGTAAATATAGGCTGGAATACATTCTGATCTGCATAAATCATAAAATAGACATATTAGCAACATGTGATATTCATATAACAGCAAGTATAAAATACATTTGTTACAACCTACTTCATTATATTCAACCATTAACTTTGGGAAAACAATATTTTTGTATATTCAAGTTATGTGATTGACATCGGAACTTGATTAACATTTGCAGTAAATCTTTGTTTAATGCGTCACAGGAAATATACAGTTCAGATACTAGAAGTGATTTAAATGTACTGCAGTTTACAAGAAATGATGAGTTACGTATTTTACTATTCCTGTGTTGTATATTAATAAATATACAACAGTGTTTAAAATCTAACATGAAATTATCTTTATCGCTGCAATCAGGGGCTTAACAGACATAGGAAAATCATAACAAAACAGGTAAAATTAGAAATGTTGTTCTCTGTGTCATCGACTTGGAACCCTTCTGTCGTAATGTGATTGTTCCTTTTACTGCAAATGTATCTGAAAATGCTTACACAATGCCTTCACGGAAAATAACCGATCAAATTACACATTTTTCTTCCACTTTCTGTGGACATGTCAGTGTAATTTGTAAATCCATCTTCTTTCCAACATGTAAACCGTTCGATCTTCTTCAGGTTGTTGTGACTGTGAAGAGGTAGCAACAGCCTTCTCCTCTGATTACAAAGGAAGATATTTCTTCTTGACACATCTTGATGTCAGCCTATTTTCTTCTAAACTTAAACATAACGAGACTAAAAAGAGAAAGTTGAAAGAATTTGAGAAGAAAGTTTCAGCATTAAGAAATACCTCAGGTGGTGAGATCCTCATTCATCTGCACGGTCAAGACCCAGAAGATAGGTATCTTGGGCACTTCGACAACTTTACTGACGCTTGCCTGAAGAATCTAATCCCTGACGGACAACTGTTCACGGATGTTTACAGGCGTCAGTGGTTGTCGGATGAATTTCCTAGTTTCGATGGTACCCCTGTTCTTCTCCTCACTGTAAACAAAGCACGGTCTGTATGTACAGTACATTTTTACACAAAGGTCCCATCGGATTGTATGATTGAAAATGCGTCGACCGTTGGTTTTGTCTCTCTCTTGTCCAGAAAGGTGATCACAGAAGAGACAGAACCAACACTTAGAGGAATCCACAACTTCGAGCAACGGCTTCATGAAAACAGACACATTGAACTTAAAAGTGTGTTCATGAAAAAAGATCGAACATTTCATAATATTTCCACGTTTGTTGATTACATCTGGACTGATCTGAGATTCAGGGAAAATTTATGTTCCATGTCAAAACTTGAAGGTGGGGGTTCTTTCTTCGTGGGAATTAATGAAAAAAATGGAGGTGGCACTTACGACTCGAGGGAAATAAATCCCAACGGTTTTCCCTGCAACTGGAACCTTGACGAGATCAAGACGTCTTTGGATGATAAACTAGAGTGTGACGCATCCTATCAACAACCAGACGGTGCTCTCACGTCTGTCCCCACCAGGCTCATTGAGGTTGAACTGTACAACTCTCCTTTGCAAATCAAGAATAGTTCTCAAAATTTCAAGATATTAGAAATTGCAGTCGGGTATGTTGAGGGCATTGTATTCTATAATAGAAAAGGCCCTGAAACCTACACCATTGACAAGGAGGGACATATACTGCGAATGGAACATAGTGAATGGTTGGAGAGAATACAGTCGTTTAATATAGTTGATATCAAGCAGTAACATTTTGAACACCATGTCTGTCTACGACAGTGATGCATCTTCATTTTCACATCCTTCATCTTTCTCTGACCAAAGGTTTAAAGCCATAGTGGGCACTCCATTGCATTCTTCTCGTGATTATAGAGGTAAGCATTAGCTTTTGTTAAAATATATTTTATATGTACAGCGCGTGGCCATATTATTATATCATGTATAGCGATGCCCGTTTTTAAAAGACTGCTACTGAAAAACGACCCCGCGTATCGTCGAAATATTTTGTCACATGATCGACCATGATGCCACGTGTCTGTCACGTGACTCTATTTTTAATCTATTTGTCGTCTGCTACATATTCTGGCTATTTCCGGCAACGATGGGGGAAATCAGCTGATTTGTCGGACCCAGTTAAGAAATTAATTGTAAAAAAGTTTCAAAGTGGCGAAAAATGTTCTAACATTGCAAGATTCTTTGGAATGCCTCGAAGCAGCGTATTCTCGGTGGTAAAGCGGTTTAATCAACGTGGATCAGAACGGCCGTATGAGAAAACTGACTCCTCGGGGCAATCGACAACTTTTGAGGATGGTCAGAGACAATAGGATTTCACCTTTGGGTAAAATAACTGAGAATTTGAACAACAATAGGGCTACACGACTGTAAGGAGACGATTATATGAAAATAAATTTCATAGACGTGTTGTCAGAAAGAAATACGAATTCGTGACTGTAATGTCAGAAATTGTTTGGCCTGGGCAGGGGAGCAACGATATCGTACAGTGAATAATTACTGGAATCGAGTAATCTTCTCTGACGAGTGTAATATTATCATTGGGGAAAACAATCGTGTTTTTGTTTGGAGACAGCCTGGTGAAGAATACCTCCCGCAATGTCTTTGTCCTGGACGACAGCCACGCGTCAGTTTGATGGTGTTGGGTTGTATCACCTGGCATGGTGTTGGTTCCATTTGTGTTGTTAATGGCAACATAACTGCTCAGAAATACACAGAAATCCTCGATGATATGCTTTGGTCCGTTGTAGCCAGACATTTTCCGGGAAACCGGTACATCTTCCAAGATGACAATGCCCCTGTACATCGGGCCCGTGTCGTTCAGGGTTACAAGCGACAAAATGACATTGCTGGAATGTTGTGGCCTGCACAGATTCCAGACGGAAATATACTGAACCTCATTAAAAAACGCACCACTTATAAACGTTCAGATTATTGAAAAGCACGTGTAAGGAATTGATAGTTTTTGACTGGATAATAACAGATGGGCGACTGACAAAAAACAACAAAACAGAAAAGACGCTCATTCATTGAAATGTTCCACAGTCAGAAAGGATCGAACACACGTGGGGTCAAATCAAAAAGTCAATATCGCGTGTGACCATTTGGATTGACACATGCAGTTCAACGTCTCCTCATTGAGTCAATAAGCTTCCGAAGAGAGTTCTTGAGGATGGCATTCCACGTATGCAGTAGTGTAGCCTCAAGTTCCCGGATGTTTCGCATCTCTTGTCGCCGCGAAAGACTTTGACCAATTTCGTCCCACAAGTGCTCCATGGGGGATACATCTGGCGACTGTGATGGCCAATGAACAACCTGGATGTGTTGCTGGGCCAGATACTGCATGGACAGTCTTGTTGCGTGTGCCCATGCGTTGTCCTGTTGAAAAGTATGGACATCCTGGTGGTGATTGAAGACAGATACGATGTGATTCTGAAGAATCTGCTCACGGTAATGAAGGGCATTAACTCTCCTTTGACAGACATGAAGGCAGTCCTTTGATTGTAATGTATTCCACCCCAGACCACGACACTCCCACCCCCCAAAGGTCTGTCTGAACCACAAACTCATCAGCATAACGTTCACCACGTCTACGCCAAACACGTAATCAGCCGTCAGCCTTACGTAGATGAAGACGTGACTCGTCAGTGACTACCACACCATGCCACTGTTGTAACCTTTACTGAAAATGCCTGCTAGCCCATTGTATACGCTCATTACGGTGTCTGTCAGTCAGAATTGGTCCAACGTAAGGACGTCGAGCATGGAGCCCTGTAGCGTGTAGACGGCGTCGCATGGAGTCAGCGCTGATGACCGCCACGTCAACCTTAAACTAGTGCAGCAGTCCTGGCAGTCGGCAGTGATATGGACAAGGTCAATATGGCGATCCTGATGGAGCGTCGTAACACGTTGTTGCCAAGGTCATTGAAGGTCACGGGTGCTGCCTGTCTACTGATGTCGTCTATGACGACTAACGATGGTGGAGTGGCCAAGTTCAAGTTGTTGAGCAATATCCCTGCTGCTGGTGCCAACCTGAATCATGGGTTAGTGCACGTTCTCTTTCTTGAGGTGTTAACCTCGGCATCTCTGTCCTCGTCTCACAATCGGTAGTGAAGCAATGAGAATCGGTTCTCATACACCCGCTATTAATGTCACAGTCAGTATGATTTTAGAATGAAATTCGCACTTTGATGGCGTGGCTGCATGTTGATGCATTTTGGAATTAAGATTCATTGTGGACAGGAATTTGTTTCTAAAGCATTTTTTTCAACTGGACATGCCCCCGACTTCATGTTAGTTATATTCATTGATCATTGTCATGCTGAAATCCATCTACATGAAAACATGGACAATGTTAGACTGGTTCGTTTTGAATGATGTTCAGTATAGTTTGAGAACTGTTGGCTCTACCTGAAGAATAGACTTCAGGGACGCCGAAGAAACTTTCAGTCGGCTGCTGACTTGAAACGCGAAGTGTGGGACATCTGGGAAAATATTCCCCTCAATTTCATCAGAAATCTTTATTCATTGATTCCAAGGCAGATATTGAAAATAATAAGGAACAAGGGACACATCACAAAATATTGAGGTAAGACTGTTTATATTTAACGAGTTATGACCCTTTGAACTCCCGCGTAAATTTGTCGTCAACAATCGGTCCGCCATGTTGGTACGTAATAATGTGGCCATCCGCCGTGTTGGTACGTAATAATGTGGCCACCCGCTGTATGTTTAAAGTATAAAACCTGTCTTATATGTGTTTGTTTATATATTCACAGACCACAAATTAAAATTCAAAATAGAATAAGAGATATGAAAAAAACATTAGTACTACAATGTAGTTATCTGGTATTCATACGAAATTGCCACCTTTGAGTAAGTTGGCGTAACTTAAAACAATCCAGTTATTGTTTTACTTTGTAATTTATGATATGTTATGTAGGTGTCTCTTTGATCGGTTGGCTTTCTTTCAGATTCTGAAAACAAAGGCAAAGAGAGTAAGACGGTTACACGTGATTCATGTGGAGGTACGCCCAGTAGAATTCATACATTAAATTGAATTACCAACAACATTGTCAGGTTAGGAATCTTGGTTTTGAGTCAATAACTATTGTTCTCTGCCATGCATACGATTGGGGCCTACTGAACCACTTAGGGTTGATGTTGTCTTCAACTTTATAAAAATGCCTTTGTATTATTCTACTGCGGCCAGTCAATGGGCAGATCGGGCTTTATGGGTAATCGTATGGGAAATTCATGTATTCGGTATTTTGTTCTGCACATACTATTATGTTGTTATTTGTTCACTTATATTTTCATAATGTTATTGAAAGTCTTGAAAATCATAGTCACGATCATATGAGGGAGACCCTGATTAGTCGATGCTATTTTCCATGGTGTAAGTGAAAAATCACATTTTGTTTGATTTGACATGTTAGCCATTTTACTGCGATCCACCACGTTTTCGTGTTTCTATTTCAGATACTGGCAAGCCAAAGGAGGGGTATCTATCTACAATATTCAGTTGCAGCTTGTTCCAGAAGGACATTTATGCAGGTATACCTATTCCTACAACATGTATTTGAAAGGTTCTGCTTTTACCTCATAGTTTTCTAAATTGAAGTCCACCCGAACATGAACTCTTTTGTGTGTCTTCCTGTCATAAATGAAGCCACTAGGAATATTTTTTTCAGTTATGATCCCTGAAAAACAAATCTTTAAAAATCCCAATGTTTCGAAAATCAACATTTCTTAGCAGTTTGTTTGGGTTTAAAGAGCACAACATGCATTTTTAATCATGTTGCAACATTTAGATACCTGTGCTTGACCTTGACCTCTGTGTTAGGAAAGTAGGTTCTTGTGAGTAGAACATACCATCTTTTTTATTTATACGTTTTTTACAGAGGGGCATATATGCCTGTGGAATGCTCTTAAGATACTTGTATTGAAGATTCACTCCCAAATCGTTAGTAATGAACTTGTGAAATGCCTGCTGAAGGGTGACAGAGATGTATGTATATTCTCTAGACCACACAAGCTGGTGACGATGTGTTCAACTATATTTAATCAGACATGTCAGTGGCTCTGACATTTGCTACACTATATTGCATTAGAACATGCAGATTGGTTAACAACACACACACACACACACACACACACATACACACACACACACACACACACACACACACACACACTTACTTGTCAACAGGGCCGGTTGGGTAGCCTAGTCAAACGTTCGCTCGTCATGCTGAAGACCCGTGTTCGAATCCCCACATGGGTACAATGTGTGAAGCCCATTTCTGGTGTCCCCGCCCTGATTTTGCTGGAATATTGCTAAAAGTGGCGTAAAACTAAACTCACTCACTCACCTTTCTCAACACTATACTATCTTATGCTTACGCTACCAAACTATATACGTCATAATTGTCGAGGTGATATCATAAGAGTGATATATAGTTTAGAAAGCATAATCGTGTAACCTGTAGGCGATCTTGTATTTACAAACGTAGTGGCTGTCAAGTCAAGACTTCAGTGCGATTGACAGGCTGCTGCTTCAGCAAGTAATTACTAATCTTAACTTAGTCATAATAATTGAGTAAGCTATAACCGCAATATACTAACACAAATTGGTGTTGCAGGTAAAGTGGTCACCTACCCTAAATGTATGCACAGGATGTTGTCAAGTATGTACCCAGAGATTCTGTCGGTACTTGAAGAAACATATGGACGGGGAGCATTTATCTACGTTGGAGGGTCTTTTCAGTGTCTGTTTCCAAGAGATACTAAACGATTTCACAAAATTAAGTCGGGGTTGATATGTGACATGTGCATTTTTGCAAACAATAAACCAGCTATCCTACTCACTGTTGCAAAGAACAAAAAACAGAGGGATCATTTCAACAGTTACAACTTGCAGATGAAAAGAAACTTGGAAGAATGGATAAGCGAAACATTGGTTGACTTCAAAGTCTTGTCTGTAGTTGTGACCCCTGACGACTTCAGAATCCGAAAACATTTCAAGCTAAAAAATTTCGACGTTGAGACACAATCGAGGACAAAAGTTCTTCCCTCAACCTTGGCAACAGTAATACTGACTATGGAAACCTTTTTTCGGAAGCTGGCAACCTGCAAGTTCGTTCAACGATTTTCTGGAGTTTCCGAAGAAACTGTATATTTTGATCAAGACTTATTTGAAGAATTCATTGAACTGATGGAAGAGGAAAATACCAAAACTGTGTATTCCAAATGTTCAGACTATACAGTGCTCCTGGCCTGTGAACTAGGCTACAGGTTAGCTTTGATTGGCCACACGTCTATCTATTCACGATCAGAAGAAAAGAGAGAATTTGAAGAACTAAGGTAAGATTTTTATTGATGTATCGTCGTTTATATCACACAACACTTCTCTAAAAATAGTTAATGTATTTCTCTCACTAATACTAACTATGAGCCCTCAGGGAAGTTATCACATAATTTGTTATAAAAAAAAAGAAGTATTTAGATTACAGCATTAAATTTTAAAGTTCAAATTGAATTAATGCAATGTTGCATTGAATCAACTCTCGCGGCCTCTACTGGCCAAACATTATTTCAAGCGAGCTCCATAGAGTTATGTCCCTTGCAGTGCTCTTTACGAATATCCTATGCACAACTTGAGATTGAAAACACTTCGGCAAACACCGATGACACAGTTTTCGATGTACGGAGGAATTGTTTACATTCAGTATATTGCAAGTGTATTCTGCTTGGAAGCTCTTTACCTCAAAGTTTCAGTTATCGATTTCAGGCAAGTCGGAAAGGATACTCTGTCTGTTATTACATCAATAGGAATCTAACGTGAGTGCATTAGCCCTTATACACATGTCTGTAGTACATGTATTTAGAAATATGTTTGGATTACGAGCAAAAAGGGAAGTTGCCGTATGCCCACCTTTTCTTGAAAGCTCCCCAATCATGTCCTCATCTTTGGTTGATTGTGGGTATCATGTAACCCATACTGCATGTATTACTTCTATCAATATCAGTCACTTCAATGTCTGGTTCGGAATTGAACATTTGTAGACCCTATCCATCTCTGTACCTGGATCTAAAACAACAGTTGTTCCAGAGTATTTCGAGATCATTCAAAGTCACACCTTCATTCATATGGACTCAAGCAACATGTCATTGACCCAAAACATACATCTGGGAATATCGTGGATTGGGTTATGTCCCTTGATGTCAGTGAAATTGTCAAAACAGTGAATGGTGAGGACTGACAGGTGTCTCACTGCTACCTTGTGTTTGTGACTTTAAATGTGTTCAGGCCGAAACAGGTAGAAAAGTTGGTTACTGCTAAGATCTTTAAAAGTTCTACTTCGTTGTCTGTAATCGACCTTTTGACGTGAATGAGCATCCCGAGCTCTATTACACCCTCAGAACTCCTTGACAAACATGCTCAGGGTTCGGACAAATACTCCTTGGTGCTGTCATGACGGTCATGAAGCCATGTGGAATCGCCGGGAAGCTGAACGACAGTGGCGGAAGCATCACCTTGAGGTTCACAGAGAATCAACTTCTTTTCTTCTGAATCTCCCACAGACCTAGCTCATTGTTTTAATCAGTTTTTCTCGGAAAAGATCAACAAAATTAGGCAAGACCTAACACAATTCCCCACAGGTGCACATGCTGATTTGGAGTGACATACAGTTCAGTGGCGAACCCCAGATTGACCTCGGTTCTTTCCAGGAGAGTGATATACTTGACATTGTTCGTTCATCCAAGTCGGCTACTTTAGATCTTGCACCAACACAGCTTGTTCTGGATCAAGTGGATATTCTCCTCCCAACTATCACAAGGTTAGTGAATAAAACCCTTGAATCTGCAAGATTCCTACAATCTTCTGAACTGCAGTGGCTATGCCTCTCTTGAAGAAGGACAACCTGGATTTAGATAACTCTAAGAACTTTCAACTCGTATCAATACTATCCTTTTTCATCTAAAATGGAAAAGCTGTGAATATCCGCCTAAGGGTTCATTTTTCATACAACCACCCCAGGAAGCCCTGCCTAGTCGAACCCACCAAGAACTTTCCTCTGCAACCTCTCAAACATGAACAACATGCTGTAATACAGCTCCTTACCCAGGAGGGATGCAAAGTATGTCCAAAGTGATGGCCAAGGATGCTCCTGATTATTCCATAGTTTGCTGTTTGTCTTTAGAGTTTAACAGGGGTAGGGAGTCCATAGACGATGACCAAAGGTCAGACAGGCCTTCAGATGCCACCCAACCGGAAACCATAGCCGCTATAAAATGAAGAATTTTGCCTGACCGACGAATGAAAGTATCTGAACTTTCTAAAGAATTACAGAAATGCCGAGGAAGTGAACATGTGGAGTTCTACCTTTGCATGACAACGCTCCGGTTTACAAGTCGAAAATTGCACAGGTCGCCATACGTGAATGTGGATTCGAACAGTTCAACTACCCACCAACCAGCCCAGATCTAGCCCCCAGTGACTATTTCCTGTTCCGGCAAACGAAATTTACCCTACGTTGATGACGAGGACATAAAGGTTGCCACACAGGCCTGGTTAGAGGACCAATCTGCGGATTTCTACAAAAGAGTTATCAAAAGCTTGAAGGACGAATTGTATAAGTGTATTGAGGTGAATGGACACTATATTGAAAAAGAAAAGTGCAAAAACCTTTTTGCGACTTGGTGTTATATTGATGGTACAAATTATATTGAACGCCCCTCGTAGTTCACTGAAAACCCAAATGTAAGCTAAATAATATAACCAATTCTTGGGAAGCATTTGTTTATATTTCCTCTGTCTTTACAGGAACGCTCAAAACCTGTCCATATCAATCAATTACGACAGGAGTGTTGCTGATGAGAACTTGGAAGAAGGCGATGTGCTCTTGTCGTCGTGGAAAGGGGGTACGATTCTATTTCGAGCGGGTAAGTTTCTTGTTCATTTTCTAAAAATTAGACACTGTTTAACAAAGAAAGAATAGTAAAATCTGAAAAAAAGAAAGAAACGCATAAGTAGAATAATCGGCGCTGATATTCATACAAAATGAATACCAAAATAATATGACTGTAAGTAATACTGAAATGCTGAAATGTATAAGAGGGAACCTAGTCACATTACTAATTGGCGTCAAATTTTAACTTACCCTCACTTATGAGAATATATATGTGCTTCAACTTACTGGTATGACGGTGATGACAGGGATTGCAGCTGCTCGAAGAACCTTGGCGTCAGCTGTTGTTAACCGCAGTGCAAAGGTGCAGGATGAAGAAAGACGCAACAGATTGATGGACCTGGTTTGCTTGCACATGAAAAAGGCAGAGGAACAATTAGAGAACACACTGCGCCATGCTGACTCTAAATCCCAGATAGCAGAACTGGAATTGTTCAGTACATATTCACGGGATGAAGAAACGCAGATGTATACCGTAGGGAGTAAGTATATGTTCACTACTTTTGATTGGAGAGGATGTTCAGTTCAATCTATGCCTCATTTAAATCCAATAAAGATTGTGGCATATTAAGGAAGATACTTACTGCTTTTTATGAGCATTTTATGATTACTTTATTGAGAAACTTGCCACTTTTTGCTGTGGCAACTGTGAACATTCTTATAATAAGCATTCATGTATGTTAGAACATAAATATTATTATGAATAACATTTGCTTTCTGTGAGACCTGACTGTCAGTGGCTCATCATTCTTTACACATTTAACATTTTGACAGAACCCAATGTTGCAGCTGATGCAGTGTCTAGGCCACCGACACAGGAGACTACAGGGTGGGTATTCAATTTACTCTACTTCTGTTACCATGGAACTAGTTCAACTTAAAAAGTTGTCTATATAAGCTATCATTATGTCAACACACAATAACATCTCACCAGTCAAGGGCCTTTGGCGACTAATCTGAACAGCTCTGATTAGTACTTGCAGTTTTGGGGTAAAGTAACCAAACACTGTCCCGAATCGTTTTTTGCCAGACTATAGTTGTTTTTATTGTACGATAACCTTTGGTACTTCACCAGATTGTATTTGAACGGAATACACTACCGTGGGTAACATTCCATACCCAAAACAGAGAACATGATTGCGAGTGATATGAATAGAACATTAAGTGCTACTAAAGTAAAATGCGTTGACATGCATGATATATTTGTTCCTATACGTATACGTATAACAAATATATCTGTTCCAAAATATTCCAGTCATATGGCTTACAAATAAATATTATTGTGTATCATGTGTGTCTTCCAGGTCCAGCTCCGAAGATAGCACAGTCCAAGAGGATCCTGATGCACAATATATCGATTCTGAGACATTAGAATCCAGTAATCTCAGGCAAATGGCGAAAGAAGAGGCAATGTATGAAGAATATCCTCTTGAACATTTTGATCACATGACACCTTCACAGAGCGCACAGGGGGGACGAGGCAACGTGCATATCCTCTGCTCGACTTGAGAAACCATTGTTTAGTCATTCAGAGGAAACAAAGTATAATATAAACACAGGCGATTGGAGAGCAAGAAGAAGGGTCAATGATCAAATTCACCTGCGTAAATGGCTGAGCACGCCGGAATTAAACATTGAAAGAAAAAGCTTTGGGAATATTTCGCTTATCTCAACAGAAAATCAACCAACACACAGGAGAGATACAACCAATCCAAACTCGATCAATCGTCCAGTTTCAGAAGGCACACATCAAAACAAACAAACTTCCTCAAAGCAAAACAAAATTCCTCCTCCTTCCTATCGGTGTACGACACTCGAAGGTGAACAACTGTTAAATACAGAACGTTTCCCGAGCCATCAAAGACATACACGACAGACAGCCTTCAAACAGCAAAGCAGACAGCCAACAGAAGTTTCAGAAATTGATAACCATAATGAACCAAGACCTTCCAATTATAATACCAACGCTGAGACACGCCGTGGTGAAGAAGCCACAAATAGGACCTCGAGGCCTCTCCAAGACCAGAGAGAACTCGCGGAAGTAGTGCTTTGACTGATTCACACAACGGAAATGCAAGTAAACGAATGCCCAGTCCCTCTTACCAACACAGGGACCCTGCCAATACTTCATACATCACTAACCACGATACATTAACAAGACACCAAAGCACAAACGCAAGTGAACAAAGACCTAGTCCCTCCTACCAACACAGGGACCCTGCCAATACTAACTATGAAACACCAACTAGACATGCTGGCAATAAACCACATATAAAACCAAGAAGAGGCCAATCATCCCATGAGTTTTCGGGTGAATCACACCTTTCAAACCAAGGAGAACCAAAAGCAACAGAAGACAGCACCACGACAAATCCGATATTAGACGCCCTCAGTACCATACCAAAAGGTATTGTTAAAAGAGGGAGTATAGCTTTTTAAATAACCTCACCACCTATTGTCCATAATGGTTATGTTGTGTAAGAGCCAACACAATTGTTTGACAGAGTTGCCTGTTAAGAGTTCCACCTCAGTCTGGATGGAATTTCATTGTTTTTAATCATTGGTTTGACTGGCAAAGGATGTATTTTTACAGGCTGTCGTATTATAACACTGACGACCTCAGACACACCAACTGACGATTCTGCATGGTCATGACATTGATGTGGGTGAAACGTTCCAATTTCCAAGTCACATTGCATTCCAGGCATACACCAACGGATCATAACCATAAACTGTTGATGTATTGAATGCCATATTTTACTCACTCAGTTGTTTATAATACAACGAGGAATAGAATAAACTGATAACAGTGATATGAGTTCTGGAGAAGATATGATACATTTGAGGGATCAATCATCCTAAGGTGAACAACTGCTAAACATAGAACAACGTTTCCCTAGGCATCAAAGATGTGAACGGCAGCCAGCCTTCGCTGGCAAAGCAGACAGCCAGCAGAAGTTTCAGAAATTGCCAACCAGAATGATGCAAGACCTTCTCATTATAGTACCAATACTGAGACTCGCGATAATCAAATAGGCAGAAATAAGAATTCAACTGATAACCAGTGAAATGATTTCTGGACAAGATATGGTGTATATGAGGGTGAATCGTTCAACATTTTCGAACTGGATGTCCATTTCCTCGAGTTTTTCAGGTGATAAGGACGAACATACAAGGAACAAAATGGACAAAGCAAGACTGTGCTGTATTAATGTTAAACAAGAAAGTATATACACACAAGATTGTATCAGCAACAGTACAAAACCAACAATAACCACTTTTAGTTTGACCCGATGATCTGCACGCTGCAGCGACATAGTTGCAGCACGTATATCTGAGAATGAATAGAACGAAAAGAACCATTGTCCATTGTGCAGTTCTGACTATGAAGGACGCATGTGTTTATGAACGTACTATAAAAGCACCGTCTGTTTCCGGAAAATAAGAAACAAAATAGTAAACAAAGGATTCGTAAGGGAGATAATTTATGGATGTCAACTTCCTTATCACCAAGATAACAAAGGTGTGGATTATGTCCGTATGTGTGGATTATGTTGCAATCTCCCTTCTGTGTGACATTTTCATACACGGAACCTTGATGGAGGACATAAATAAGCCGATTGGTTCAATTTTGAAATTCATCATAGAAACAGAAGCTAAATCAAAGCTGCAACAACATCAAGGTAACCTGAGGGGACATGTGCACAGAAAAAACCGTATCGATGCTGGGTGCAACTACCCACAAAAATATTCAAAAGATGTAACCAGGACGCCAAGAATACTTATGCTATTACATAAACAGAACATTTTACGTTCGTGTAGTTAGGTCTATATATGCAGAGAATCCTTGTGTGTATCATTATGTTGGCCCTTGAAGATCGGGATTAGAATTGATCCAAGCTTAGTGTAAGAGGCGACTAATGGGATTGGGTGGTCAGGCTCGCTGACTCGTGTTCTCTTCTCCCCCTACTTGTCACTGTCCAGTGCTCTTAACGTTCCCAACTCGTTACTGTCCAGTGCTCTTAACGCTCCCTACTCATCACTGTCCAGTGCTCTTAACCCCTACTCGTCACTGTCCAGTGCTCGTAACGCTCCATACTCGTCACTGTCCAGTGCTCTTAACCCCATACTCGTCACTGTCCAGTGCTCTTAACGCTCCCTACTCATCACTGTCCAGTGCTCTTAACCCCTACTCGTCACTGTCCAGTGCTCTTAACGCTCTCTACTCGTCACTGTCCAGTGCTCTTAACCCAATACTCGTCACTGTCCAGTGCTCTTAACGCTTCCAACTCGTAACTGTCCAGTGCTCTTAACGCTCCCTACTCGTCACTGTCCAGTGCTCTTAACGCTCCCAACTCGTCACTGTCCAGTGCTCTTAACGCTCCCTACTCGTCACTGTCCAGTGCTCTTAACCCCATACTCGTCACTGTCCAGTGCTCTTAACGCTCCCTACTCGTCACTGTCCAATGCTCTTAACGCTCCCTACTCGTCACTGTCCAGTGCTCTAAACGCTCCCTACTCGTCACTGTCCAGTGCTCTTAACCCCATGCTCGTCACTGTCCAGTGCTCGTAACGCTCCCTACTCGTCACTGTCCAGTGCTCTTAACGCTCCCTACTCGTCACTGTCCGGTGCGCTTAACCCCATACTCGTCACTGTCCACTGTGCTCAACATTTTGTCCATCGATACGCCGCTTTTAGCAGTATTCCAGCAACATCACGTCGGGGAACAAAAGAAATGGCCTTCACACAGTGTACTCATGTCAGGATTCGAACCCGGGACTTCGGCGTGACGAGCCAACGCTTTAACCGATAGGCTACCCCACTGCCCCTGTCCATCGAGAAATATTCGTTAATGTCTATGCTTGTTCCATGTATAACGCATTAGGTGTAGTGTACTTACATTACCTATTCCAAAAATGTTTCGTGTTTTCCTTTTGCTGTGAACCTTTAATTTACGTGTTTCTCAGTGTAGCTGTTTGTACCAAAATAAAGGTGATTTGTCTTAGAGTGAATTCTTAGGTCTCCTAATCTACAGAGCCTTGGTGCTCTTAATTGTATGTGATTGTGGCTATGTGGAATTTGTATATGTGCTCTTAACCCCATACTCGCCACTATCCAGTGCTCTTAACCCGATACTCGTCACTGTCCAGTGCTCCTAACGCCCTACTCCTCACTGTCCAGTGAACTAATGAAGAGTGATTTATGATGATAAAAAGAATCTGACCCACGTATCTTCTGATATCAAATATGTCAACGCTCGTTTATAAAAGTAAAAAAAATCTAAATTTATCAGCTCGTGTTGAAATAATTGATATCAGTAGACACTTGGGTGAGACTCTCTTTTTATCTCGACGTATGTACAGGGATTTTGAATAAAGATATATCACTTAATATTGCTTTGTTTTATCAGTCACCAAAGCGTCACCCTAGGGCAAAATACCAGCGGGACTCTACTGGGAAGTGAATGAAAACAAAATATGACTTTAGGACCCGTGAAGATCTGGGTCAGAATTGATCCTTAGAAACCCATGCTTGTCGTAAGATGCGACTAACGGGATCGGGTGGTCAGGCTCCTTGACTCGGTTGACAGGTCATTGTATCCGAACTGCGTAGATTGATGCTCATGATGTTGATCACTTGTTTGTCTGGTCCAGACCCGATTATTTACAGACTGTCACCATATACAAACACACAAAACCATGCTTGTGCCAAACAGAACAACAATTTTTTTGTTTTCTATTTGTGATTGTTTCAAAAGTAAATCATCTCCCACAGTGGATCTAACTGAATTTATTTGCTTTTTGAGTTGTTACTGGAAACCATCCTGATCTGATTTTCACTTAGGATATAGTTTTATTCGGATTTTGTAAAACACAATGTGTAGACACAGTGTGCATGCAATTCCCGGAGTATATTTTCACCTGCTATTTATTGAGTTGAGGGAGAGAATCACTGAGTACAGCTTATTGTTTGTTTGGTGTTTAACGCCACACTCAACACTATTTCAGTTATTGACGGTGATGTGTAAATAATCAGTTCTGGGTCAGGCAATCCAGAGATTGACATCACAACATGGAATAATACACCACACAAAATGACTGTATTACCCAAATTTACTAACGTCAGGAAATGCTCGTTTCATCCGGTGGCCATATGAACAACGTTTGAAATCTCCGTATCATCTGGCCGTCAGATTTACACACGTTTAAAGGGGTGTTAAAATAAACCAACATTCAACTCTGCATTTATATGCATTTCACAGGTGTGTAAATCTGGCCATTGTTTTCATGTGTTTCCTAACATGTGTAACATATGTAAATGCTGTGATTGTAGGACATGCATTTCAATACCCTTGAAATCTCGTATGACCAGGGTTAGATTTGTGATGTATTTAGTACATGCGTAAATGGTTGGAAATGGATTAATATAGTGTTACAAGATTAGCACTACTTTAACATGTATTTCAATGGTTCTGTAATGTAACTGTTTCATAGGGTTCGTTAGCGCGTCCGAGCACGCCATAATGTACTGAGATAATTAGAAACACATGGTGAAGTGATACCCATGACTG